AGCCATCCCAGATGGCCTGGGAATTCCTATCCATCCTATAGGGATGAGTCACAGCATGGACCACAGTAAGGTGACACCTCTGGGGAATGCGCCACCTCTGCCACCTTCACACACAGTCCATGCAACGTTACAGGAGTAGGCAAGAAAGACAAAGTCAAATGAATCAAGCACCCATAGTACCCCAGGCCCCGAGCGAAGCTGCCTCATTCTACCTCACTTAATGTGATCTTTGAGACACTGAATTGTACATTATCAGCCTCATCATCTATTTGTGACACCTCATGCTTTTTTTTTTCTTTTTGGTCAGTTGTGGGGCTTGACCTCAAGGCCTGGGCACTGTCCCTGAGCTTCTTTGTTTACATCTAGCACTCTACCACTCTGAGCCACAGCACCAATTTGGTTTTCTGGTGATTAATTAGAGATAAGAGTCTCAAGAACTTTCCTGCCTGGGCTGGCTTTGAACTGTGATCCTCAGATCTCGGCCTCCTGAGTAGCTAGAATTACAGGTGTGAGCCACTGGCACTGGGCCACCTCAAGCTTTTAAGAGCTCCAGTGACTTGGGCATGTCATGCACTGGTGGCCGAGTCAGATTTTTGAACCCAGTTTTTCAGATTCAAGGCCCAATCCTTAATCTTCCAGAAGATGCCCTGAGCTCTGGAAGAAACTCAGTGGAAATCTGCTAGAACTCTGTTCTAGTCCTAACGCTGACTGTCAGGCACACAGTGAGAGGTAGCCAGAGATTTCCAGGGTTGTGCATGCCATGGGAGAGTGAAAACTGTTGTTATTCATGGTTACAAGGACAAACTCTGCAAGCTCTGCAAAAACCAGACCACTGGCCATCTGTCACTAGAGGAGGTTGGACATGGAATGCATGAATTCGTATTTCTGACTTAGACAAGAAATGACGGCCAGGGTGTTTCTGTTCTCACTATGGCCCAGACTCTCCTCCAAAGTGAAACGTTCAGCCAGCAAGGTCTCTAGTTGGGCCTGATTTGTTTAATGAGGTTCTAACAAAGCCCAGAGATCATTGCCCAGGCCCAAGGAAAGAAGCTGTTGCCCCAGAGGCATCCTGCCTACCCCTCCCCTGAGTTACTTAGATGTAGACATCAAAATCCCAGATGTAGGGAGTGAAGTGGGCCCGTTGGGAGGCAATGGTTTCTAGAGCCTTAACTTTTCGTTGTTGTTATGCTGCGTAACTGGGAATTTGAGGACCGCCCGCTGTCAGGGTAGGACAGCCACCCGAGTCTCCACGTTTGCAATTCCAAGGTCTGACCTAGGAGGACCTGGTGCCGGCTTTCAGGACCCTTGCCAGAACTCTTCTACACTGTGATTTCTTTCCTCAACCGAGATCTCTACAACCCATCTGTCCCTGACAGTGCTAATGCCAACCAGAGCAGCATACTATGAGATTCCAGTGGTTTCTCTTTACTTCCAAACTATGCAAACTTGGGCCACTAACCCCAGTCTGGAGATTTGGTCTGATCTGGAAAGTGAAGAAAATGCTACTGCCCAGGCTGAAGGCTAGACCATCTCCGATTCAGTTTTCCAACAGCTGGCGGTGGGTCATCCCCATGGTGGGAGTGGAAAGGAGTTGGGATTGCAGGACAGAGCATGTCCCGTCTGTGTTTGGCTGAGCCTCCCTGGCAAAATCTACAATAGCGATGACTATATGAGGAAGAAACATCCCAAAGGTCAGGCTTCCTGGGAGCACGGCAAGATTTCTTCTCCAGGACTGTGCGGAGCCTGCATGTTGATCTGCAGGACAGGAGAGAGTATGGTAGTACCCTGCTTCAGACTCTATGGAAAGCACTGGGATTTGCCTGACTTCTTCAGAATGGAAAGGCATGGTGGACCACTTTCTCATCTCCCCCTTTCCTCTGAGATAGCCGATCGCACAGGTAAAGCAGGTAAGGTTTCCAGAAGTAAAGTCACATGCTCCAGCTGATACAGAGGCTAGGATTGGAACTGGGCCTCCTGGCTTCCAGAGTAGAGGGCCGCAGAGAAGCTGGGCCAGGCAGGTGCATTTCGGGGACACTTCTGTTATTGTGCTGATGTGGACTGGGGGGTGGGGGGCTGTATGCAGAGTAAGGATGGTGGGAGGCGTGGGCCACGTGCTGTGTGCACCACATGTGCCTACTTTGGGGATCCTGTGTGGCCATGCGTGTGCATGCCCGCACCTGGCCCCTCCTTCCAGGTGGTAAGGCTGGGGGCTGCTCTCCCTCCAAAGAGGAGTCTGCAGATGAGCCAAACCCTAGCCCGAGCCAAACCACAGCCTGGGCTGTGGGGGTTTGATCTTCCCTGTGCTGCCAGAGATGAGAGAGGTCTAAGTGGCAGAGATTTACGGGGCCCGAGGGAGAAATACCCTTCCAGTGAGAAGCTCACATGAAAGCTCCCGAGTAATAACTGAGGCCGCCGAGCGTGCCAATTATGCAGCAATTAAAAGGCTCGACTATCATTTCTTTTTTCCTTTCATTCTCCTAGCCACTCCTCCCTCCCACCCTCAGCCCCCTTTGCAATCTGGCTTCCCCCATAGGCTCCCCAACAAATACTCTGGGGAACAGAGGATAAAGAACACACTTTCCCCCTTTTTCATGGGAGATCAAAAGTTGGCGTACCACTGGAGGGTGGAGAGGACCATGTTGCTGAGATGGCAGTCCTTAGGGCAGGGATTGAGAAGGAGAAAGGAGCATAGGGCAGGCTCCTCGCCTCACCCCATTGTCCTGTTTCATCCACACAATCAGCCCTGTAAGGTCAGTATCATCAGGGGCAATGTGTAGCATGAGGTGTCTAGGAAGTCCCACAACCTGCTGACATTGGACTGTAGGTTGTCTGGGAGCGCTTTCCCTCGTCTCTTGGTCTTGGCTTATCCATCTACAAAGTGGGTGCAGCCCTGGGCTTTGTGTAATGGGGCCAAACACTCCTGTAGCTAGATGAAAGGGCCAGTGGGCCCTGAGCGGCAGGACTGCTCTGAAACGCAGCCAGCAACCAGCTGAGCCAAATGCCCTGCACAGCAATCCAGTGGCTAATTGAGAAAGAATTAGGCAGCATGCCCCGAAAGTGAAGAAACAGCTGCTTGGCTTTTTTGAGGTGCCAGCCCACACCTAATATATGTGCCCCCTCCTCACCTGATTTCCCAGCAAAACAAACAGCCCCCACATTCCAGGGCCATGGGGGCAGGACCCCTCCTGCCCTGCTGTTGAATGACAACTTCAAGCACTGTCTCAAGAGCTCTGAGATTATGGAGGTGGTGAGTGGGCTTTGGGGAGGCAAAGAATGGGCTATGGAGCCCGGGATTCTCCCAGGAAATGATCCACCTCTCACATTTAAGAGCCTTCAAAAATCCCCTGTTACAATTCACACTTGACCAGATGAGAGATGATCGCAAGGTACTATCCCAGCGTTGTCTCATTACGCTGTCCGAATTGGCACTGTCTGTCACTAGACCACTGGTAGTGACTTAATGTGTCCATCTCTGTAGTGATTTAATGAGCTACACTGTCCAGCTCCAACTGTCCACCTGTCTGTGACAGCCAGGGAGGAGGAGCACATAGCTCAAGTCATACACAGTGGCAGGAAGAGGCTCCAATGTTTCTCACATCAGACCAGGACACACCTAGCCTGTCGCCCTGAACCTCACTCCCCAGCACTCAGTGGCTGGACACTGGGATTGCTGGGCATGGCTTTGCCATTTCTCCCACAACGGGCTGAGCCCAAGTATAGCCATGCTCCTGGGACTCACACCACAGGAAAGAGGATTAAAAAGCTAAGGGACAGTGCTCAGGCCCGGAGTTCAAGCCCCAGGACTGTTATACACACATACTTGCATGCATGCGTGCACACATGCGCACACACACACACACACACACACACACGCACATGCACACACACACACACACACACACACACACACACACACAGTCTTGATGCTTAGGTCTGTGCTTCCTTTTCCCTTTCCCCACACACTAAAATGCTGACAGTAGAGGCCTCTTGGGATAGACTTTGCCAAATGGTTATTCCTAACAAGCAGCTTCCCGGTTATAGCCCATGCCCCAGCATAGTCCCCTCCGCTGCTTACACTGCTTGGAAATCCTTCACCTCAGATGTTTGTTGTTTGTGTGTAGAAAATGGGGAGCCGGTTAGGACAAGAAAGGAGGAACCATGATCAACTCTGGATGCTGTGAGCCTTTTCCTACCTTTCAGTGGTTCATACTTGGTGACCTGGGAGTCCTTCTCTCCCCAGTGCCCCTCCCGGCCCGTACCATGGGAGCTGCAGGACCTCAGCTGGCATGGCTGGCCACACTTACAGGGCCTGGCCGTGTTTGCTCAGTTGGGGCCCACTCAGCCTACTTTAGAGGGCTGGCAGGGCTCCAGAGGAAGTGATGGGAGGGCCCGAGTGCGTTCTGACCTTAACTGAATTCCAGGATGATGATGTGTGAATAATATGGCTTGTTAAGAGTCAACAGCTTGGGTGCTTTTTATAGTCAGTCTGGATGGAGCTCTGAATGGGCCATCTCCCCATTAATCACTTAGCTTGTTAGATCAGTTGGCAAACAGTCCCCGGCTTTTCTCCGTGTTATTCCTCCCCCCCTCCCGCCACCCCCCTGTCAGCAGCACCCTTAAACAGACATCAAAACTGCTATCCAGCCAGTCCCGGGCCTGGCCCTGAGCCTTGCAGGTCCCAGGCTTCACGTCCTAACTCCTAACAAGCTTCTCCTTGCACTGCTGGTTTCTCTCCAGTTTTGGTGGTCTCTGTTGGCAGGGATTTTAGGTTCCTCCTTCCTGGCTCATTGTGAACTCCCACGGGATACCTTCTGCCCACTCAGAATTCATTCTGAGTGGCAATCCAGAGAAAGTGCAGGAGGACCACATGGGTGATAAGACTAGAGCCAGACCATGGCACCCCAGCCCTGCTGCTCCTTTCTGCGCCCACACCCTTCACTCCAGGACTGCAGGTCCCATGGCCAGGCAGGACAGGGCTCCAACAGGCCTCCGTCACTCACAGCGTCTCCAGACTGTGCAGCCCCTCGAAGCTGTGGGTCCCCACACGCTGGATGCGGTTGTTGTGCAGATGCCTGTGTGGGAAGGAGAGACACGTCAGAGTGAGTGTCACGGCGCTGTGGTGGGCCAGAGAAGCACACGGTCACAGGGGGAGCAAAGTAGAGGCAGACGCATGGACAGAGTGACCTCAGTGGTCAAACCCTTTGTCTCCAGGGACAAACAGATTGGCCAACACTGAGTTCGGAAGCCACAACCTCCGAGGCCTTTCTGACCGCAGCTACATACATCATTCTGGGTTTCCTATTGAAGGAAGGAGGGCAAGGAGAGCCCCAGGCCAAGACTAAAGCAAGCCTCTGCTAAACACTTGGGGAGTGGGGGAGGCCTGATGTCAGAGGGGTTCACATCTGAGGCGTCGTCTATGGCTCTCTTCCTAGGACCCAGCCAGCCTGACTCAGTGGCCAGACGTTCCTAGAGGAGCCAAGAGCAAACCGCTGCAGACAACATATAATTAAGGCTAAGCCTTCTGTTACAACTGGAGAGAGCTGTGGACACACGGAGAGAGCACAGGGAGAATGGTGAGTCTGGAGGAACCGGAGGAGGCTGGCGAGGGGTGGTAATCCTGAGTAGATTGGTGAGCCCCATGAGCACAGGCCATTCCGGGCAGGGCGAAGCGTATGCTCAGAGGTGGAGAGGTGAGAATGAGCAGGGCATGTCTGTGCAGGTGTGGGCCTTAGCCAAAAGCAGGTGTGGATTGGGGAAAAGAAGGAGCTCAGTTTGGGAGAGATTTACAAGATAATAACTAACCGAAAGTAAATGACAGAATTTTCTTCTGCCAATTGCTATTGGACAAAAACTAATAGAAACAAGACTCAGCCTACTCTGAACATTGTAAGGAGCAACAAAGTCAGGGAAAAGGAAGATCCTAATGTAAGAACGCTGCAAAATTCAGCAGCCAAGAAAATATTTTGGAGGTCTTTATCATCCCCCTTTGCCCAGAAAATGAACTGACAAGAAGACAAAATCTGAGAATTAAATCCTCCAAACACATATTTGAACCCAGGGCCTCATGCCCTCTCTACCCAACCATGTTTGCCTTAGTTTGTTTTTTAGACAGAGTCTCACACTTGTGCCAGGTGCTAGGCTTTGGGCCATGATCTTCCTGATTCTGCCTTCTTCTCAGCTGGGAGGATAGCTGTGTGCCACACCCAGCCCCATACCCTTAAATCATAACAGAAGATTTCCCCCCTCCCTATTTCTGGCTTCTAAAAGGAGCACATAAATGGAAAAGTAAAATAAAGGTTTCTTTGGACTGGGGGCATGGCTTAAGCAGTAGAATACTTTCCTAGCAAGTGTCAGGTCCTTAGTTCACTGCCCCCCCCAACATTGTGTAACAAATAAAATTGAGATAATATCCTGACTCCAAAATGTTGTGCTGAAAATTAAATAGGTCCTTTAAAGCCTGGGGGAATGGCTCAAGTGTTGAGTGCTTGCCTAGTGCACTTAAGGCCTTGGTTCAATCTCCAGCATGAAAGAAAGAGGGGGGAAGGGGAGAGGGGAAAAGGAGAGGAAGAAGAGAGGGGGAGGGAAGGAGGAAGGGAGAAAAGGAGAGAAGGAAGGAAGGAGAAGAGACATTGACAGAGCGGGGGGAGCGTGCATCAGAGCGGGGTGCGGTGGCTCATGCCTGTAATCCTAGCTACTCAGGAGGCTGAGATCTGAGGATCACGGTTCAAAGCCAGCCAGGGAAGGAAAGTCCATGAGACTCTTATCTCCAATTAACCACCAGAAAACCAGAAGTGTCACTATGGCTTAAGTGGTAGAGCACTGGCCTTGAGCTGAAAAGCTCAGGGACAGCTCCCAGGCCCTGAATTCAAGCCCCATGACCTACCATAAAAAGGAAGAAGGAAGGAAGGAAGGAAGGAAGGAAGGAAGGAAGGAAGGAAGGAAGGAAGGGAGGGAGGGA